TAATAATACAAAATAAACAAACGTTTTATTTTACTTAATTTTTGTAAAAGTATATTAAAATATTAGAAAACTATGTGTATACCACTTTGCAAGCAAGGAATTTATTTTTTTTTTCGTCATTCTTCTTTGTGCTTTTCGCATTTTTTGACGTTTCGTTAAGCTGTGGTGCCACCTTTCTTTTATTGAAATAAAAAGAAAATGTCAGCTGTTTAGTGTCGTTAAAAAAGAGTTACCGAATAACACAATCGTTACTGCAAACCACAAAAATCGTTATATTAGACCTCGACAAATCGTACCGTTAAAAGTTAGTGAATTGCACTACTGATTTCAGTTGTAATTCGATTAACTTGTTCAATTGTACCATGTTTTTCTCGGAAGCCAAATTGGTGTGCTGGTATTAAATTGCGTTCATGGAGAAAGGGAGATATCATTGATAGGAGTACTTTTCCGAATACTTTGGAAGGGCAGGGCAGTAGGCTTATTGGTCTGTATGAGGACGGCTGTGTTGCGTCTTTTCCAGGTTTGGCTATCATGATTATCTTCGACCTTTTCCATGATTTCGGAAAGTAGCAGAATTTGAGGATAGCGTTGAAAAGGTCAGAAAGAATTGCTAGTGCAACATACGGTAGCTCTATTAGCATTTTCGGAGTTATAAAATCAGCACCCGGCGATTTCTTTGGATTGAGCTGCTTTACTATAGCTTTTACTTCTAAAGAGTTCGTCTTGCTAAGTGTGTATAGCTCATTTGTATTTTTGGTTAGCCGTAGTAGCCTGAAGTTGTTCTTTGGACAGTTTGGCTGAAACACATTCTTTAAATGGTGTGAAAAACACTCGGCTCTCTCCTGCTCACTACGAGCCCAGGTACCACTTTGCTTCCTAATTGGCATTTCCGTAGCCACTGGTGGTTTGAAGTATTTTAGCGATTCCCATAGAGAGTATATTTCAGTAGAATTCGGGGAAAGTTTCTAAGGGCCGGTTACTCAATGTCTGCTTAACACTAATCTCCGGTAAAACATCGTTATAGACGTTACCGACTCCATGTTATATGCATGGAGCCGAACACGTCGATAATGATGTTTAAACGAAGATTAGTGTTAACCACATATTGAGTAAACGGCCCTTAATGTACCTTTGCAAGTTGCGATCCTCTGCACGTTTGAGTGCTTGTTTCAGTTTTCTACTGGCAGCTTTATACAGTAGCTGTGAGGTTGGAGAGCGATGGCTCTGCCACTGTCTTCTTAGGCGCCGCATTTATGCCACAAGCTTTTCTATTTCGGTTTTTGTAACTGATGTATGCGTAGGTGGTACTTGGACTTGATTTGGTGTTGCCAGGCCAGCGGCTGAAGTAAAGGTTTCTTTAATATGTTCAACAAGGGAGTCTATATCACCCTCGCAGTTAAGTGCATTTAATTTAAGGTGACTACTGATGTACTTTTTATATTTAAGCCAGTTGGTGTTATTTGAAGTTAGACGAGGCTCAATCTCGATGTTTTGGGTCTGTTCATATAGTTTTATTAATATAGGGGGGTGATCGGATGATAGTTCAGGTAGAGTTTCTGCTGTTATGTTATTTCTGTATATGTTTCTTGTAATTGCGAAGTCTATTAGGTCTGGTATCTTCTTTATATCGGTGGGCCAGTAAGTAGGTTTACCAGGAGATGTGACCTCTAGTCTATTGTGCCTGTTTAAAATGGTATTGTATAACTGCCACCCTTCTGGGTTAATAAGGCGCGATCCCCAGTACGTATGCTTTGCGTTGAAGTCGCCTCCTGCCAGGAATCTATTACTCAAAGAAATCTTTAAAGTAATTTTCAGAAATTAAAAATCGCGGTGGGCAATAAATAGCCGATAGATTCAAGTCTCCGCCGCGGTTTCGTAAGCATATGGTAGTTGCTTGCAGACAGGCTGTTGATTTTGAGTCTAGAATATTGTGCTTTAGGCGATTTCTAATCAGTACCACTGTCCCGCCATGAGCTTTACCATCTGGGTGATTTGTGGCATAGAATTTGTATCCAGGTATGGAGAAATTATATTTATTTGTTAAATGTGTCTCGGACAGTAGCATAACATCTATTTTATATTCAGTGAGAAATTGACTGAGTTCTAATCTACACTGGTTTACACCGTTAGCATTCCATAAGCAAATTTTCAATTCACTCATTTTTTATTCACTAAAATTTGCAACAATTGGTTTTGAGCCTTTATGAGGTCTTGAATCATATTTTGCATAGTAGACATGAATTGAGTCAAACAATGGGTAAGATTCAATATCATTCCTTCTATGCCACAAGTAGGGGTGTTCGGCTGCATTTGCTCAGTATTATTCCTTTGAATATTTGCAAATGTTTCTTGATTGGAGTTTGATTTCGCCGTGCTAGGCTGCGTTTGTAGTTTTAATGCGTCGGCAAAAGAAACGTTGGGAACTCGCTGCGCATTGGCAAAAAAGGCTCCTGGTATAGTGGTTGATGGCGTGAGGTGTTGGTTGGAGTGGTGGAAGAGCGTACGGCTGTGTTGCGCTGATTCATGCGAGGCTTAAATTTTTTGTATACAGGACATCCCCTATAATTGGCGGTGTGGTTACCTCCGCAATTACTGCATTTCTTTACAGCCAAATCAGCTTTGATAGCATTGCAAGAAGTGGAAGGGTGAAGGTCGCCACAGGCAACACACACTGGACGCAAGGTACAGTATGTTCTGGTATGCCCAAATTCTTGACAATTTGTGCACTGTACGGGAGCGTTTCGCTTTGCGGCTCCTCCACTGTTATTCTTCGGTGTAGAAGGTATCGCAGGTTGTAGACTGGGTGCACTGCGTTTTATTCATTGGCTTTGTTTCTGGCTTAAGTTCTACCTTAAACATAGGCTGAGCGAATTTTGTTCTGTTGATAATATTGACAACATTTTTAATAGCGAATCCTGCCTTCTCTAGAGCATGAGCAATATCACCAGTGGGTACACTTGATTCTATACCTTTTATTACTACTTGCAGTACTTGCTGCTTTTGAGCTGGTACGTATAGAAGTTTTTCTTACCGGCATTAAGGTGTTTGGTTATCAACCGGTTATTTTCTTCAGTTAGAATCTGAACTTTGGTCTCTTTAATGTTGCCCTTGGTAATTGATGTTACGTGGAACGTATTGTCTCCAATAAGCTGAGTTAATTTATTCACGAGCTCACTACAGTTTTGCTCCCGTAAATAAATTGGGGCGGTTTGGGTTTGGCTTTAGAAACTTCATTCGGCTCTTTGCCATATTCATTGTCCAGAATCGCAAACTTATTCCCCAGTAGAGGGTTAATGTCAATGGTTTTCTTTTTTGCAATTTTTGATCGATTTGCAATTTTTTCTGCTGTGGGCTTAATTTTCGTTTGACTTGTATATACCTATCAATACCCCTTTGAGCCAATGTACGGGTTGTTGGATTAAGTAGGTCAACTTGCGCTGAACTGCGTTGCTGGGCTTGGGCTGGTGCTGAGTTCGTGGTTGTAGTCGTTGTTGTAAGAGCTGCGTTCACCGTTGTTACTGTGCTTATTGCTAAGCTAGTGCTTTGTTGTTGCGCTAGAACAACTTGGTCTACCAGAGACAGTGGCGATTGGCGACGATGTAATGCACGAGGTTTGGGGGGAGGGAGAGTACGATTTATCGCGATCAGCATTGTTTGTGGGGGAAACGAACGAAAAGCATTGGTGAATGCTTTTGGTTGGTTGGTTGGTTGAAGTGGCGAGTTTAACAACTCCAATTAGCACTTATGCGTGCCGTTTTAAAACCACTACTCGCAACTTAAACCTGACAAGAAAGCCCGAAAAGAAAACAGCAGAAGTCGGTTATATATCTGAAACCCAGCCTGTGGAGTGCAAGAACTTAAGAAGTTGCAGTGGGT